CGAGCAGCCCTAAGGTTTACATTTTCCATCGTGTGAATCACAGCGGCTGCTGAGCAGGAGTAAGGGAGATCCTCAGTCGCAAAGAGTGGGCTGGTTTAGCTGATCCGGATGGAGTAGGTGTAAAATGCAGGATGCCACAGGAGAGCTTCGCCTCCATGAATCGAGCTGCCCGGTGGCTGTACTCAGCGCACAGCTCTGCTCTGAGCTCTGTTGGGGCAGGATGTTGAATAAAGCAGTTTGCGGTACCCAGGTGCCATCCCACCTGTTGGGTTCAAGGGTCCAGTGGACACCTAGCTCATGAAAGATGACAAACACAGGCTCGTTTATTAATCTCTGATGGGTTTTCTGTCCCTAAAACTCCGGATGGGAGTGATTCACTAAGGAGCTCAGGTTTGACAATTAAGCCACGTACCTTCCCTTCACTAGCTCAGATGTGATGCGGCAGGTAGCGGCAGACTCTGCCCATGCTCCTCTGGTCTGTGCTGGCGAGTAGCAAGGGCACTGTACAGACACGGCCTGTGCGATGTGCTCCTTGACACAGCCCTCACCGTTCCTGACCTCTCCCCTCAATATCAACTGATTTCTGCAATATTAGTGACACATGTGAATGGGGATTGGGCCAGCACTGTATAACACGTCTTATGTTGGTCGCTGGGCATGTCCATCTAAGGGGAAAAAATGCAGGCTGTGCCCATCCCTGTCCACCGCAGCGAGCAGCAGTGCCCAGGCTGTCCCCAGCCCTGTGCAGAGGTGATGCTCAACCAAACCGTCTCCTGGCTCACCTGTTGAGGTTTACGTGAAATGCACTGGCTGTAGCGGCATTTTGTGCTGCACGGCTGCATGGCGTATCAATCTCTATTTACCTCTTCCACACTTCAGAGCTCAGCCGTGCTGTCTGTGCAGGAGGAGAGCAGCGTTTGCAGCAAACTCGGCAGCGTTCGTAGTGTGAAGTCTGTCACTTCTGCAGAGCAGTGGGATGGTTAAGGTTGATGTAGGGACGCGGAAGCTGGTGGGAGAAAAAGGGAGGTAGGAATGAGAATTAATAGTTTAGTGCTCAACTCTTCACTTGTGCTTCTGGGCATGTTGCTTAACCCCTCTACGCTTCAGTTAACTTAGCAGTAAAATGGTTATCATAAAAAATGGGAGTGAAATCCTGACCCCGGTGACGTAAGTGGAAGTTTTGCCATTTACTTCCCTGGGGCCATGATTTCACCTAATGTGTCATATAGATGGGTCATGAGGTTTCCATTAATTGTGATTTTGATAGAGCTTTCAGAGCAGCAGGGCCATGGGATCACAGAGGAAGATTTATGATTGTTATTAGCGATTTCCTATGGGATTGTCTCTCTGTTAATGTTTGAACAAGGCTCTTCAGAGAGCGGTGGGGGCCTCTTACGCCCCTAACAAAACCAGAGGGCCACGGTTTCTATTAATGAGTCCATATAACTTCCATGAACTAAAACATGAGATACCTTTGGTGTCGGTATCAGTCGCTGCAGAACTGACAGGGAATGATTCCTACACAGAACCAGTCTAAAATCAAGCCTATGGAAGTGGAGGGGGACATGTAGAGATGCCAGGATCTGAATTTTGCTGCTAGCATCCACTGCATGCCTCTGTGGGGATTCGGGAGCTTTCAGTCAGGTTGCAAAGCACGAAAGAGCACGTTGTTAATATACTTTTTTTTTTTTATTACACAATGCAGCATCTCTTATTTTATGTTGCAAATTCTTTGGCTGTTTAAAAATACATGTTTTAAGATAATACTTGCCAGTTTTCAGCTTTACTGCAGAGCAGCAGCAGGGATTCAAAAGCATGTAAGCTGGTTAATAAAAAGTAATACATTTGACTAAAGTACATTTATAGGGCTGTTACATTCTTTTGCATATTCCTGCATATTTTCTAATTTGTCTGGGTTTTTTTCCATATGGTCAATTTTTGTTGTTTTGCCTTCTGTTTTTTTTTTTTTAAGGTAGCTGCAAAGATGCCAGGTTAGAAGTATAAAATAAATGGAAACCTTCATAATGCCCAATCTTCAGGCTTCTTTCTGCAAGCAGGACAATTAAACATACAGGCAGTGGGATATTGCTTTATCCAGTTTCTTCCCAGTGTTCAGATTTGCTTTGGCTCTAATAGAACTAGGTGATTTGCTGTGCAGGGTCTTGATACCAACAGTAATTAGATCCAAACTGCAGCTAAACAGCTTTCTTAGCCACATTGTAATTTCTCTGCTCAGCTTGCATTATGGACAGAAGAGAGCGGTGACCAGATTGATCCCCCACCATCTATCAGAACCGCTCACACGACTCTATAACGTGCAGTGTTATTTTAAAATGAAAACGGTGACAGAAGCAATTCCCAAGAGCAGAGAGCACCAAGGTGACATTTTCTTGATGTTAAAGTTTAAATGGAACAAATTCATGGATGGGAAAGAGCATCACATTCAGCTCCCACAGTGACACCTAGAGCTGGCCTTTAAAAGGACAGGGTTACCCAGAGCTTTCAAGCCGAGGATGTATTCTGTGCCCTGCATCAGTATATATATTTCCTATTCATTTTGTTCAGCATAAAGGGATAGCTCTTAATTTGATTTCATTCACTGAAAATTTCCTCCTGCCATAAACAGGAGCCTAGAGAGAGTTGTTTTTCCACAGAGCACTGAAACCCAGTTTTCAGAAACAGCACATGCATGGGCAATTGCATGTTTCCTTTGCCTGTCATAGCTGTTTATTGCATGCATAAATAACCATAGTTAGCTATCTTCTTGCATATTTACAAGGCGTCTGCGCATAATTGTGGCAGCACTGTCAGCAGTTTAACAACAAATATGGCATGGTGCGTTGTAGATCTTGCTTGTACTGCTGTCCAGGGGAGCTGTGCTGTGGGGTTGCTTGTGAGCAGAATGGGCTTTTGTGATTCCTGTGTTCAGTTGGGTTTTATTTTTTGATTCTTTAAATTGTCTGGTTGGAAAGGTTTGGAAACATTACCTGACTGAGTTCATTTCGGAAGCAGCGGTGCCTTCCGTTTGTACAGGCAGTAATTAGAAAGCAAGCGCGCAAGATTACTCACGCAGTGAATAAATGCTGCGGTTAACTAAGGTGGACTCTGCTTCAAGTCAGGGAAGAGAAAAAGACAAGACGCTAAATATTGAACCAAAATTCTGGTGCTAAAGGCAGCTATAAAAATCTCATCCAAAGGAAGGGAAAAAGTGCTGTTGAGAACGTGTGAAAAACATAATGAAATGTAGCACCCTTGATTTACTGTATAAGAAAACAATGAATCTGCCAAGAGTCAACAGATTGATTTAATGTACAACTCCAGATGAAAGGAGGGGACTTAAAATGTACAGCAAAGCTTCTGAATGATTTCACAGATCTCTTCCCCCTCCAGAAGTCTTTTACTCTCTTGACTAAACCAAGAAAGGCCTTTAAAAGCAAGTTAGCAGAATTGGCTGAACAAGAACAAATTAAGAGATGATGAGGGCTTGAATTTGTTTTGAAATATGTTCTTTACAGCTTGAACAGGGCCATGTCTCTAGCCTGGGGCAGAGTATTACTTGTTAAAGCCAATCAACATGTTTATGTTAGATTTAAGCTTGATCTATAAATAGGAATCCAAAATAGATCTGAACGTCCTCTGTTTCAGATGTTACTACATCCCAGGCTTTGACTGGATGTGACTTCTCAGGCATTAGCGTTGCATAATTAAATACATTTTAAAATGTTTGTTGGATTCTGACCAAAAGCTAGGTCCTGTTGGGATCCTTGCTCTCCATCAGAAGACCACACAGTCTAGACAAGCCAGCAGGATGAGGGCTATCCTGCAGCAAAACAGAGGAGCTGAAAAGTCAGATCAATTAAAATGCCAAATCCTTTTGGGTCAAATCGCTTTGGGCAACATTGGGTCTCTACTCGGGGTTAGTACCAGATGCTTTAGAAGAGGGAGTCAGAAACCCTGTAGCATAGAGTTATAAAAAGATAATTGAGAGATGATGGGTAGTGCATCTTTTATATTGGATGGTGTCTGTGGATCAGGAGGGGAATTCAGGTCTTGTATGGGTGAGGAGACAAGAAGTAGGAGACATGGCATATGGCCGTGACAGTAAGCTCCTAGATGTAAATGGAGCGGGGGTTTGTGGAGGCTTGATTCAAAGTCTATCATCAGAGAAAACAGAAGGAATCCCATCAATTTCGCTGGTCTTTGGACAAGACTCTAATGCCACAGACACTCAAGCAAAAAGATATCTCGGGGAATTTTTTTGCAAAGCCTCCTAAAATTAGGAAGATTTCTGTTCACACCCAAAAGCCCTTGCATGGGGTTAAGAGGAAAGTTTAATACTACCTTCCATTTCCTTCTACTTTGGGGGAAAAGAGAGACTTCGGGTTGCCTGAAGATAAAAAGTAATGATTTTATTGGCATTTGTTTTTAACATTGTGCCAGTGTGTCCAGGAGCTGTATGAGACTTGATTTGAGGTACCCGCTGGGAGCTAGCAGATTTATAAAGTCTTTTACAGAGCTGTTCATGACCTGTGATGTTACAGTATATTCAGAAACCTTAAAAAAAAAGGTGAATTCAGAGTGTGACTAGAGTTTTCCTTGGAGTCAGTATAGCTTTATTTCGCAAGGGTTTCTTAAAAAAAGCTAAGCCTGCTGACTGTAGACATGACAGACCGCAATGGTGTAGCATCCTGCAATTTCTTGGAAAATTGCATATGCTGCTTCTGGGTATTATCAATTCTTCAGAAACGTTCTTGTGGGCAGTAGGTGAAGGAATGAGGACACCTCCAGAGGAACAAACAATGTTCATTTGGGATAAGCTCCTGGAAGATGATGGGGCTCCCACTGTTTGGCCATAATGACCAGAGGGACATGTTTAACTGATGTCTGAGCAGGAAAGGGAGTTCTGAAGGACCACAGCTCAGAAAATGAGAGGGAAGCCAGTAGGCAGATGTAGTGCTGTTAGGACAAGGGAAATAATCTGACCTAGAGGTCTGAGTGAATCATCTCCAATGAGATCTGCTCTTTTCTGGCATTGCCAGCCCCAAGATTTGGGTGCCCTGGACTGCTCCCGAGGCTGCCCAGTTCAGAGGTGCATGAAAGGTTTTGTTGAGTTCAGAAGGACTGTCTAAGCTCAGGTGTTTCCTTCTCTGCAGGGATTACAATGTTAGACTAACTAGTCTGGGCTTGGAGGGTGGCTTTGAATCACCTGCAGCCTGGCCGGCACATCTGCAGCACTGAATGAGCAGCCAAAGTTGGAGTATCTGCACATGAGTCCAGATGATGTGTGTGGAAGCCAGCGTGGGGCTCTGGCACGTGTTGTTGTCGTCCATGATGCATGTGGCTTCCAGCATGCCCTGCCGTAAGGCACGATGGGACACTCTTCCCACCACTGCTATCCTCTGTTTTGGGGAGGTGCAAAGTTTACTCCTAGCAGCAGTGGGAGGACAACATGCCAGCAAAACTCGTGTTTGGTTGAGGCTACTATTGCAACCAATTAAGGCAATACAATAAGATGGATCTAAAAAGACCAGGGAGATGCTTTTGTCTTCAGCTCAATTCCTTCTGACAGGAAACCAGGCCTTTGTGTCTCATGGAAGAATTATTCTGAATTGTTAATCTTCTTCATACATTTCCCTGCTTGGTGATGACACACTCATTGTTGAGTTTGGCTGCTAACAAAATCATTATCTGTCAAGTGGCTTCAATTTGCTGAAAAACCAGTCCTCTTAGTGTATCTGAAACTTTGTGCTTAGAAAAGGGCATGCTGGAACATCCTTTTTTCTTTTTCTTTGCATTGGTGTGATTTCCCAAATGCTTGATTTCCCAACCGTACCTCAAAATAGGCTCCATCCTTCGCTCTTCTCTGATGGGCTTACAGGATCTTTGCTGTATTTTTGGACATACATGCCTCATGGAGGACAGAGAGACCATCTCTAAGCCCTGAGCTCCTCAGAATTGAATATAGAAGCATAAATAATGTAAATTTTAGAGAAAAAACATTTGGTCTTCCATTGGTGGAAGCTGTCTGCAAGCAGCTATGTTGAGGTCGGTGGAGGTGGGGAGAGTTTTATCTGACAGAAAGGAGGCAATTCTGCCCTTTGGTACTGAGGCTGATCTCCTGACTTAAGTGGAGGTAGCGCACATGAACAGAGGGACAAACACAGGCTGTGCCTCACAGAGCTGGGCAAACCCGGCACTTTAGGCTGCATTTGGGCAGGGAAAGTGGTGGGGGCCGGTGCTGGGCACGGCCAGGGGTCCCTGCCCGCATGAGGCAAGGGCAGCTCGAGCTGCCTGTTTGCTGTCCAGACTATCCAGCAGTGTTTCCAGAGTGCAGAGCTGGGCTGTGATGGTCGCAGGGCAGCACAAGTAGGTTTTTGGCTGGATTGCTGGTTCTCATTGCCTTCAGGCTCCGGGCTGGGGATGAAGAAAGGTCTATTGCTCCTTCTTCCCTCAGATGCAGATCAACTGACCTGCTCTCACAAGAGAGGGAGTTTAATATGTGGAAACGACGTGCTTCTGCTTTACCTGTTCAGTGCAAGTTATTTAACATCCTTTAATTTCTAATTATTTATTTGTTCCTTTGGGATAAACTGGAAATGCAAGAGAAGGCTGGGGTCAGCAAAACAGCAAGGCAGGAGGGACTTTATTATAGGGGAAGTATAATTACACTGACCAGATTTGCATAGCATTTTGTTGCAAAAATATAGATTACAAGTGCTGAAAGAGAGCTGATGACCTATCAGTAATAAGGCACAGAGATGAGTAATTAAACGGATGTGTAGCTAATGGCATTGGTTAGAGAAAACGATGTACAAGCTATATAGGTGGAACAAGGGCAGTGCTGAGCCAAAATTTACAGAGCAAGGTAACTTGACATTTATGTAGTTCTCCAGTTGACACAGGTTTTGTCAGGACTGTAAAGAAAGGCATTGATTATCTGATCATTCGTAGGAAGCATTTCTAAAGGACTGACTCATCCACACAGACACAACTGTCACGGCCTGCCTCTCTGAACACAGAGGTGTATTAAGGAGTCGGGGTGTAGGTCATTTCATTTATTCAGAGCAGTTTTGATTGAGATGGTAGAAAAGCAGCTGGTTTGCAAAAGTATATATTTATCTTTTTTAAGTAGCCTTATCATCAAGTAAAATGCATTTTTATGAATTCTTACATTAAAAAAAAGTTTGCTCCGGCTTTAGAAACAGTATAATCTGGCTGTTAACATGATATTGTCCAAATTGTTCAGATGGGTATGAATAAATGTCGGTCTTAAATTCCCATTAGCTCTCAGCTGGAAAGTGAAATGTTTGAGCAAAGATGGCCCTCGGTGTGCAGTGTGGAGCGCAGTCCCTGCAGCCTCCACGTGCCCTCTCCTACCCTCCCGGCAGAGCCAGCGACCCGCTCTGCACCGCTCTGCTCTCGCCTGCAAGCCACCTTGGGATCCCTTGAAAGTAATGGATGGGCTTGGATACATATCCATTGTGCGCAGAGGAGATGAATTTACATATCTCTGCTGCTCAGCAACAATTATTAAAATCACAGCAGAGATCAGAGATTGCTATAGTATCTGCTTGTGCTTTTAATTAAGGAAATGTCTGCTGCACATTGGACTGTACGTCCCAGCCGCAGTCAACTTTGAAAACACCCCATCTCCTTTCCCAGTGTGTGTCCCTGTTAACAGAAATCCAAAAGCGATTAAAAATGGAGAAAACGGGACTGCAATGGTCTGTTCCTATACATGCTGTTCAATTACGGTGCTTGTGGAGCCCATACTGGTTCTGCCTGTGGCCAGCTGAAGGAGACAAAGACATGTCAGGGAGTACAATCCATTTTTAGACCTGGTCAGCAGCTCAAAGCCTTCCCCTGTACTCTGCACCCGCTGAATAATCTGTTGTACTCTGCACCCGCTGAATAATCTGTTAGGATTACCCTGCTTGATGCTCAGATACCGCAGTGCTGAATCTAATACAGAGCAAAAGATACATGACTTTGTTTCAAGGAAGCTGAATGTAAGTAGATCCACATGTAGTTTTTTAAAGCGGTTTTGTTTTTTTCCCACAGCGATGAAATCAGGAGGCACCCAGCTGAAGTTGATCATGACGTTCCAGAACTATGGACAAGCATTGTTCAAACCAATGAAGTAAGTTAAAAAAAGTCTGTGTTGTAAAGTGACATTGTGGTTGAATAGCCTGTTGCCATTTTCTAAGCCGTTAAAAGTTTGCTGTCGTATCTCAAGGTTAGTGTGTCTGGTTCCCTAGGCTTGCTGCTGAATGTAGAGCTTCAGGGGCTGTTGAAATGTTGCCTTGCTAGGCTGGGCTTTGGAAGAGATACTGAGGAGGATTCATATACATTACAGTCTTCTCAGGAATGTTACTCACTCTGATCTCTGTGAAATCTCCCTTCATAAATACAGGATGTTTTCAGCGTTTCTTTCTTATAAACTTACTCCGCAGGTCTGAGCTTTATCTAGTGTTAGTGTTCCACTGGAATATGAGCAGAGAAGAGAGATTGTTCAGAACAGCTTTGGGAAGAGCTAAATAATATTTGTCTGATAAATTATAATTCAATCTGTTGATTTATTGTTGTTTGTATTAAAGGGTTGTACTAGTCGTTTGGCTGTGTCTATGCTGACTCTGTGAAAATGAGTTTATCTGAGAGTGGTACTGCAAGGTAATGAATCTAGAGAGAAAGGGAAGGACTAGGATCACACAGCCTTGGTTTGCACCTGCCCAGATTCCGCTGAGATGAGAGACGTTATTCAGATACAAAGCAGACGTAAATGAGTTCTGAATCCTGACCTGTATGTTTGTGTTGTAACAAGGAAAATGACTCTGTGCTTATTGTAGAGGGTTTAGCAAAGGCACTTGGGGCTGCAAAATGTTTAATGAAGCTACTCAGTATCTGTGTCAAGGGTAACACTGGAATAATAAATTAATTTTCTTCTTTTGTTCCCACTGTAGGGAAGTTCAGTTAATTTCTTCTAAGATGGTCCATAAAAGACTAAAGTAACTGAGAACAAGTGGTTTGGAATATGTCTTGGCATTGTGTTACAGCTATAGCGGGGAGCACAGCTCAGGGGGTAAGCTGCTGGCTGGAGACTGAGGAAATCCCTGTTTCACTATAGATTTTGCTATAGACTGACCTCAGACAAGTACAGATTTGACTTGATCTTACTTGACTGTCAGCAGGGCCAAATAATTGGTCCCACTTTCCTTCAACCCAAGTTTGAGCAGAGCACTCCTTGTGTGCGTTTGTCCTGGGAATCACAAGGAAATCCTATGAACTTACAGGCAGCGCAAGGCACTTGTGCAAAGGCCAAATGCCTCTGTCATTTCTCAAATTGTACACAAATTTCTCCATGTTTCTAGTGGATCACTGATGGCCTGGGAGAGGTCAGAGGAAGCACAGATAATACTGGTAAGTCAGAGGGAAGACAATATCAAAGACAGTGTACTCCAACATCTTCCCTTCCCTTCTCTCCCCTCTCCCTGAATACTCAGATCTTCAGATCATCAATGCATGGGTCCATCCTCTCTATCTGCAAGTTTGATGCATATAGGCACAATTCTTAATTGTGTCCTGTCCCCCATGTGAAATCAAGAACTAGGTGGGCGTGAGCAGCCTTGAAGTGTTTGGCAGAATCGTGGTTGCGCTGTTGGCTTTTTACATACTGTGTGATTTGTTCCTTCTCCATTTGCTGCGATGCAGATAATCTCAATCTTTATCATTGGTATGACATTGTAATTCTGGGAATGCTAATGAGGTCAAATCACAAGTTTACCATTTCTACTGTACTGTACACAGCCTTGGCAAGATGATGGATGACAATAGAGGTATAGCCACGTTCCTGTGTAGAAGCAATTACTACCATCCACTAGAACAATACCAGAAAATGATGATGTCTTAATCATTCCCTTTGCTTGATTTGAAGGGCAGCAACACCCTATTTTCTCACAGCTCTTTGCATTCCATACACTACTGGAAGAAGCAGCATTAGAGCATATAGCAGCTGTGGTCCCAGGCACCACACCTTAGAATAGCAACTGCTGCGTTTGTGTTGAGTGTCACTGAACACGTCAGTGATTTTGAGTAAGGATGTTTGCAAGCATTTGTCTTCATTCTGATAACAGTGAACAGGGAGCCGGATGCTCAGCTAGTGTAAATCTTCCTAGCTCCTTTGGTATCTGGTCCCATTGGCCTCTTTCACCAGCTTATGGACCCTTGTTGACGAAGTTCGTGGAGAGGTTTGCAGCATCATTTCTTTATACAAAAATATGCAGTCTGGAACTATGAAAAAAAATAAAATAAGGCTTTTAAAGCTATGAGACTTCCTTTTGCAGGACCTTCTTCAGGCCCTAGACACATAGCAGGCCGTTTCTGGTGCTCCCTCTTTTCTGCAGGGTGCCCTTCTGATTCAGGCTTCACAAAGCTGGCTGCACCTTCCCAGGTCAGGAGGTTATAGGGAGCTCACAGATCAGGGCAGACATCTCTAGTCATCGGGACTGGTGGTGTAAAGGACATTTTTTTCTCAATAGTTTAATTTGAGGACCATAACATATCATCCTGGTTGCCTACTTTTGAGATCAGCTCGTTGAAGGAAACCCTTGGTGGATAGCCAGGATGTCTCCATGTGGTGCAACCCACATGTTTCAGTTGTTACTGTGTTATCAGCTCCATGGCTTTTCAAAGCAGCAGGAATTATGCTTTTCTTTCTCTTGAATTGATAAGCCTCTTCATGCAAGCAACCTTCTTCATGACCCGGGGTAACACAACCATCAGCTAGTACCAAGTGCCCAGCCGCAAATGAAAATTGGGGCCTCAGTTCACCTCTTCAGTGCTGGAGAAGGCAACACGAGTTGCATCTCTACCTTAAACGGAATGGAGCCACTGTTTTTTAGAGAATATATTTGGCATCAGTAGGATTGCAGGCCTGATCCCAAGGGAAGTTGATAATCCTGAGTTTCCCACCCTGTCTGGGGTTCGAACTACTGAAAGCTGAATGGTGTGAGGTACACAGAGGGTAATATGCAGGCGTGAGGCCAGTCACTACCTGGGTTTGATTCATTTGAACTACCTAGAAAGCTGCTTTTGCTCTATTTAGCTGTACTTGGGATCTTCCAAACTGAATTAACACCTGTTTGAGCAGGATTGCGGCAGAAAGGGGAGACTGTGCACGCCCTTCCCTGACACAGCCGGGCATCTGCTAGCAGAAGAGGAGGTCTCCAGACCTTTGGCAGTGATTTCTACAGGCCATTCACAGCAAAACGTACTCCCTGGCAAATTGCTTGAAACCCTGCAGAACTCATCTGACTTGTTGTGCCCTTTCCCAGCCTCCAAATTCCATGTTGAATTTATTCAGGGAGCAAGCCAACTCCAGAAAGGTCCAGGCAGGATTTGGAAATGGGGAAACCAGAATCTGCCTTTGGCACCTTTTGTGCTCAGTGTTTGACATTAACTGACAACTCTTCATCTGGTCATTGATTCAGGCTAGTGGAGCAAATGAGAGGAGGGAAGCTTAACAGTCAGAGAAATGTATAGCAGTAAATAAAGCCTGATCAGCTGCAATTATTTTATTTATTTGTGGCTCTGCATCTTCATTTTTGAAATAATTGCCCATAAAGTATTGCAGAAGAAGCCAAATCTATTTATAAATCCTGTGACCCAGTCTAGATTCCTTTGCTAATTCCAAATGCATCATAGAAAAAGCAAGTATTTGCTAAAACTCCAGGGAAGATTTAATGTATTTGCAATGTATCTTATAGTTAATATGTAGTTTTATTTAGCTCATAACAGTTCAATCATAGAAAATTATTACCATATGGGACAGGAAAAAAATAGCAACCTCCCCTTCTCCCATGATCAGTGTGTCTAACTGTACTAGTATTGTACTGCATAATAAAAGTTATTTACATGATTGCTGATATCTACAGCCACAGCTTTCTATATGACTTACCATGTAGCGATGGTGTAAAACATAAATTTCAAAGGGTTTTGGCTTATTTGTCCAAAAGGAATATGCGCTTTACAGTTTTATTTGGTTTCCCTTTGTTTCTGCTAGCTGGTAGAGTTAAATAGCTGGCTCAGCAACAAAACCAACACACTATTTTTTTCCTCCCAAGGCTGTATTCTTGAAGGGGAAGATTCTGCTCCAGCAGAGTCAGTGTTAGGATTCCTATTGCATATGCTGGTGCCAGGGTTTTCAGAGAGGTTTTTACAGTTCCTTATGGAAAAGCCAAACAGGATCAAATAGAAAATGGTATCTTGTTATTGGAGTTGTGAGAAAAATGTCCTCTGGTACGTGTTTAAGAATGACATCTCTCATTCCCAGTTTATAGACTGCTTTGTAGAAATGTGTAGAAAGGGTATTCATTATAAAATCTTTGAGGTTTATTTGTTCCATTCAAACAAATACTACTGTATCTAGTGAACTTACTTTTGACTGAAACTGATATAAAAGCCAGTTCTGGTCCAACTGTAGATTTTGCCTGATATTTTTAACTTCTTTTTTTTTTTTCCCTTCTGTTTTTACAAGTCACAGTACAGGGTTGGTAAGAGCCACGTGGCTGTTTCTTTCAGTAGCTGAAGTTCATGGTTAACGTAGAACCAGTCAGCATCAAGGTGATATCAGGCCAGAAGAGACTTTTGGGGTCATGAAATCCAGTCTCCTCGAATCGCAGGCGATCATCTCACGAAATCCCGTTCATTAACTGATCAAACACTGCTGACCACGTCATTTCTACCTTTTGCCCCCACTATCCCTCCTGAAAATCACTGCTGTAGAAATAATGCTACCCACTGGGAGCATCTCCTGGTTCCTGCAGCCCTCAGAGCCACGACCCATCCCAGAGCCAGGCACAGAATAAGCTGGTAGTCACGGGCTGGTGCAAAGCTAGTGCTCTGCAGAAACAAAACAAGCACGCTCACCTTTCAACTTCTGTAATGTTCCTATAGCTTTTGGCTCAAAGATATAGGCTCCGTTAGCTGGGCAGAAATCTAGCAGCCAAGGTCATGGGGAAGATAATATTTTTGTTTTGATTGGCAAAGCAGACCTTTCTATTGGCTTTTAAATGCCATTCTTATAGCGACAAAGGATTAGCAACGTTCTTTAAGTTTCTCTTTGATTTTCTTTTAGGATTGCTC